GGTTTAATTCTGAAAGAAGACCACTGTCTCTGCATGAGAGGGCCTGAGCCAACAGGGGGCTTGATCCTCACTCACTGTTCACCTGCTCATCTTGCTCTTGATTTCTGCTCCCTAAAGCAAAATTCAATCTCACTCCAATCTTATTTTTTATCTTAAGTTTGCACATATTTAGTAAACAAGCAATACTTATTTAGCAAAACTAAAAGACATATGTATATCAATCTCCTATATCTAGACCGCAGGAGAAAAATCTCTTAGAAGAAATAAGCGTAGGATGAAATACATTTCCTGGTTGGTTTGTTTAGTACTTTCACACCAAAAGTCCTTGGATACATGCCAAAATTGACTTGTCTTAGAATTATGCCAAATTTGCATTAAAACTAGTTTCGAGCAATTGTAGCTAAAACTGAATAATTAACTTGCAGATTACATGCCTCAGACTACAGACACAAGGCAGGACCTTGTGGCAGGGCTTCATCAGTGCCAGGACAATCCAGCACAGTGCAGACCCATGAGCTGCCTCCACACCAGCCTCTCCATCCTCCTCTGACTCAGACAAACCCCAGCTGCAGAATCATCCCCAGCAGGTCCTTCCCATGATGGGGACACTATCATGCATTTGTGGAAGGAAACTCAGTAGTTAAGGACAGGGGCACCGGGATGCAGGGACCACCCTGAGATCAGGCAAGGNTTGCCCCCGCACCTTGCTCAGCCAGTGAGCGGCCAGTCTGTATGTGGGATCCGAACCCTCGACGGGAGCACCGGCGTGCTTCCCAAGCGGCGCACTGTAGCAGTGCGCCACCGGGCCAGCCCTTAGGCCAATTCTTTCCAACTAAAAAGAATATAACTTTTGAGTAAGACACATGGAATGTGAGTGTATGACCAGAAAAAAATCAATGCTGACTTGACCATGCTCCACTGTGTGGCACTGCCGGTATGAAGTCACTTCAAGTATCCACACAAAGCTGTCCTCGTTCCTCACCAGCATGCGCTGCCTTGGGAAAATATGGTCCAATGTGGCTAAGCTTTCAGGAATAAGCCAGAACAGTCAAAGAAACTGTGATGGCAAAAATCTGTTCCTAAAGGCAAATCAGGGTCTCAAAGTACGTTGAGTCTACTTCAAAATTAATACTAATGTAAGAGAAAGTTAGTATTGCACTTAAAACTAACACAAAACATTCGCCACCTCATTTATCACAAAAGTCATTATTCACGGAACTTTGCAGTATCCCGTGTGCCTTATCTAATCGTCTGGTGGCTGCCAAGCAGCTATGTCCTCTTCTTCTTCTGCAGCACCTGACCATTGGTCCTTTCTGGCCAGCTGCTCTTGGTTTCTGGCTGTGCAAAGTTCCAATCCACTGGATTGAGAAGCTGCTGAGTCTTCTTATGGGTCCAATATGGATTAATGATTAGTGTAAGGAGGGCCAGCCCAACAAGGAAGAGTGCCAAATGAGGCAGATACAGGCTGCTGACCAGGTCATTCCAGTGCCAGAAACACACCCACCACATGTGGTAGGTCAAGACCATGCGGCAGTGAAACATGTGGATCATCAGCAACTGGTTGAGCTTCCAAAACAGAGAATCGGACCAGCCAGCCTGCGGGGAACAAAACACGGGCAGGTGTCAGCAC